TTTATGATGTGCCGCCTTCTGAAAGTAGCGCAACGATGCCGACTGTAGATACTTACTGACTGAGTCAAGCTCCAGGTCATCATGGAGTATTTCGGGAAGCCGCAATGTAACATGAAGTCTTACGACCTATTTGTATTACATTGCTTGCATAACGAATTCTTACCAACATGTCCCTTAAGTATTTTCCTCTGTTTTTGCGAGGCTTAGATATAATTAAGAACACTTTTACGACCTAATCTTTTATTTTATTTTATTATCATTGTACTATTTCACGGTGAAGTACTGATTTCATTATGGAATAGAAATAGACAAAGAAAATGCATCTAATCTATTCACGTACCGGATTCCATACGACCAGCATCTCCAGTAATATCTGAGGGTAGTTTCCTTTCGCTCGCGCCCTCATCTTCTTGTCCTTCAGAGCGTACCATCTCTTCTCACCGTTCCTTATGTTCAAAAGCGGTATGGCCAGTTTACCTAGAAACTCGACTTTGTGGTCGTGATCCTCGTCATACACGGTCAATTCCAATATCGAGCTTATGTCTTTTACCGTGCTGGAATTTTTTAAATATACCTTCAATCTTAGCAGAAATTGTGAGGGTTCTTTAGTAGGAAATTAGGATATTAATTGTTGACAATCACGAGTGCTCTTTGGAATTGTTTGAGACGATACTATCATCTCGTTTTTACCATCGCCCGCCATTGGAGTAGAGTTCATCCATACTACCTGGAGCCACTGCGGTCATCCACAGTGCGTTTCCAGAGATCATTTTTGCCACGTCCCATCCAGCTTTGGGATGAGCTCCCCTCCACGGTGTTTTCCGAGCGCTATGACATGTCCTTCTTCAAACCAGGCGTATGGAGCGGCTTGGCTCTCATTGCTGATGTCCATGAGCGACGGTAACTACTAATACTATATGGCGATTAGGAGCACTCTGTCTAGAGTGATATGATTGAGATGGAGAAGTAATAATAAATGAAGTTATGACTAAAAAACTAGGCTACTATCTTCTTCTTCCTAGCGTTTTCCTGGTCTAACTAGGGTCAAGGTTCTCTTTCCTACTTAAACTCCTCCACTTTGCCCGGTCTTCGGAATCCTTCTGGGTGAGTTTATTCTCTTCTATACCCACTTTTATCATTAAATACCAAATAAAAACAAACAACTATCTTCTTCTTCTTTTTCTCCACCTTATCCCACTAGGTGGGGTCGACACAACTACTTTTTTTCTTCCATTCTCTTCTATTAGCCGTCATCTCAACACTTACTCCTCTCTCTCATATCGTCATTCACACACTCCATCCATGTCTTCTTCGGTCGACCTCTTCCCCCTCTACCTTGCACTACCATTTCCATACATCTCCTGGTCACATGCATCTTCTCTCTACGCATCACATGTCCATACCACGCTAACCGTAATTAAAGAGAACGACTATATTAAAAAAAAATACATTTAGATTGTCAATTTTAAATCTGTGCACGCAGTCAGACTGGAATTCGTTGCCGGCTGACATCCGAGTTTGCAAGTCTGTTTCTGTTTTTAAATACAAAGTCAAACAATTCTATCTCTCATCAACCTGCTGGAAGAGATTTCTTAAAGAAATAAGCAGCGCCTTTGTACATAATTTTCCTATTACTCTTTACTATGTTTTCTTTTTTCTGTGTACATAAATAAATAAATAAATAAAAATATCTATCACCGGGAAAGAAACTTACAAAGTGAATATCTTCATCCAATTCGGTGTCAAGGTCTTGTATTCGGTATGTGTCTGGAGTCTCGCATTACCAAGCTCCAATACGCAGAACGGGTCGGATTTCCCGCCCAGATCGGCTGCAGCCAGACCTTTGGCACCGTACACCTTGACGCACAGCCAACCGACCCCAGCTGATGTTTCGTTTAATCTGTACCACGTCTGTAGTGCAATTGTCAATAAATAAGATATGACCTAAAGGTCTCTGTCACCAGGTCATAAAATATAAAAAAAAGCAATTGTAAATTTTTTTTTTAGGTTATATGAAACTAGCTTTTGCCAGCGACTTCGTCCGAGTGGAATAGTTCACAAATAATGCTTCATTTTAGGACAAATTTGGTTAGCATAAAAAACGTTATAGTGAGCCAACCTTAACATATAGACATATGCTGTCGCGGACTTTTTTCTAGATCTTTTAAAGGGGAACAATTCTGTCATACATTATTTTAGAGAAACTTTAACCGTTTCTGCAGCGTACGCAGCGGAAGCTCTTAAAAGGAAAAAAAAAACCCGATTTTGAAACATTCTTTATTGGTGCTCCGCTTCGTCTTAGCGTGATGTTTTAAAGCCTTCTTCAATAAGCGGGCTATCTAATAATGAAAGAATTTTTCAAATCGGACCAGTAGCTCCTGAGATTACGGGTTCAAACAAACAAACTATTCAGCTTTATAATATTAAGTATAGTTCTGATTTAAGGGCAGTACTTACATATCTACGTTCGATGATTTCCAGGTCCCGTGGATTTTCCTTGTAGCTCGTCAAATCGGTTATTGTTTCGGACTGCGTTGTCCCGCTTATCGTTAACAATAGAAAGATTTGTCCGTTTCCATCTTCCAGTTCCTTCCACATACTGTGAGTCTTCTCCCTTTCCAATTTCGATAAGTCTATTGTGCATCTAAACAAAAGTAACCTTCTAAACAGGGCGTAGAAAGACCTAATTAGTACTAAATTTACGATAAGATCTCCCATTTTTTAGTTTCATTATATTATTTCCGATTATATAATACTTACAGTTTTCCTATTGGTTGCAGGACCTCTTGCGAGTCTGCGCGGGTAGGGACCACCGCCCTGCCTATTTCTGCCGTGAAGCAGTAATGCGTTTCGGTTTGAAGGGTGGGGCAGTCGTTGTAACTATACTGAGGCCTTAGAACTCATATGTCAAGGTGGGTGCCGGCATTTACGTTGTAGATGTATATGGGCTTCAGGAACCACTTAACACTAGGTGGGCTGTGAGCTCGTCCATCCATCTAAGCATAACAAAAAATCATTTCACTTCCATTTTTTTTCCACGATACATCATTTACAAATAAAAATATACATACGTATATTCGCCGAACGTGAACACGAGTGAGTAAACGTAGGCCTTCGTGAACATTTAACTAAATGTTTATATACATAACCAATAACTTTATGATTCAAATACTTAAAAGCTGATGACAGTATGCATGTTTAATAGATTCGATTTTAAATCGTATGTGTAATAATTACATCGATTCTTTTAAAACTAGCGACCCGCCCTCGCTTCGCTTCGGAAACTGTAATTTATTATTGATTTCTCCACTATTTAATGGATGTTATTAAACATATAAACCTTCCTCTTCAATCACTCCATCTATTAAAAAAAACCGCATCAAAATCCGTTGCGTAGTTTTAAAGATTTAAGCATACATAAGGGACAGACAAATATAGGGACAGAGAAAGCGACTTTGTTTTATACTATGTAGCGATGAGTACTCACCGCCCTAAAAAATCGTCTTTGGTCTGCTTATCCTTGTCCCATACGGTCACTTCCAGAACTTGTTCCTGGTCGTCGTACAAATGTAAATCGAATTGCTCCAGCCACGACGGATGTAGCGTTTTCCACACCACTTTACTCTTGTATTTTTCGTTACCTAACCTAAAATGTTAGATCAATCTAAAAAGTATTACAGTCAGATGAATTGGTGAATTTTGAATATATCTTATATATCGAAAAGAGCTACCAGTGTGCTTAATGCGAGTTTTTTAACGTTCTCGATAACGTAAAAGTTAACTCAAATTCGTATGAAGTTGGAACGTTTGCCTACGTTTGCCGCTAGGGGCGCTGTTCCAACTGCATACTTTGAGTTAACTTTTACGTGATCAAGAATGTTAAAAAACTCGCACTAAGCGCAAAGAGACTGGCCCATGTGAATATAAACTAAAATCTCTTTGCGATGTACTCCTCACAGACCTTTCAATCAATTAAAATATTTTTCGGAATGACAATACCATATTAAGCCTCATAGAGTTTAGGTGAAGAATTATTTGTTTAAAAAAGACATCTTTATATATATATTTAAATTTCTTCTGTGCGTGTGTTTGTCACTGAACTCCTCCTAAACGGCTGGACCGATTTAAATGGTTTTTTTTTTGTATGCGTTTGTGTGGCACCCTGGTAGGCTTAGATTCACAAATCAGCCCGGCAGATGGCGCTGCAGTCGGTATCTAGGTTATTTATCTATACTACAACTAAACGGCTGGATCGACTTGAATGATTTTTTGCGGGACAACGTCTATCGGGTCCGCTAGCATTATTTAAAATAGTTTCCGATTTCTCCTCTGCTATTGAAAGGCTTTAGTGGTAGCTACTTTATTTCGATAGCTTGTGTCAATGTCAATACGAAAATGCAAAACGTAAACGAATCTAAGCCTTGAGGTGTCAGTAAATATGGTCGATTTTTGGACGGGCACTGCTTCGTATGTTATTTAAAAAAAAACACGCGTGGCACTCGGGAACTGCCGCGGTAAAGCTATTGCATAGCATTTTTTATCTACTTATGCAGTTATAAGTAGACAATAATAATTTAATATTAAAACAATAATAAAATAAGACCACGCTACATTTATAAACATTAACAAAAGCAAAACATTAACTGTCCCCTTCACACTGATAAACTAGACCGCGCTAGAGAGAGATGGGCAGACCTTTTATGGTGCGCATGCAGTGGGACGTCACGCCGCGCGCTTATTCACAAACACTCAAGCGCAACGTGTGTATTGAATGCGAGCTACATGGTAGGCGGAGTGGGGGTGTTAGATTTTATTTTCGTTACGGAATTTCTTGATTCGGTCGCCGCGCTCAAAGCCCGCGATAAAAGCTATGCAATACCTTAAAATTACAACCGTGCTAAGACACGATCCTTAAAATTCCGAATCTAGATCTACGAAACTAAAATACACCTTACCTAAACTTACAATAAGGGTCACTCGACCTTGTATCAAGGTCCATGGCCGAGAGGTTTTTGGCTTCGACTAATACTATAGTCACCACTGAACTCCATATTTGTGCTTTGAGCCTCTTGTTCACATCGTTTATCCTAGTATTTTTGAGCAGGTACTGCAAACAAAATTAAATGGATCATCACCTATATCTATATACTATTAAATAAATCTAGTGGTTTTACCGATGTTCCGTTATAACTACTGAACCATGCATCCGATTGACTTGAAACTTGGTGTCCATGTAGAAAATACATGTACTTAATGGATAGGCTAGTATTTATATGAGTGTTGGACTCCCTACACCAGTTGCGGGGGCGTTAGTGATGAGAATCTTTGTGGGGGTGAGAAATAATAATGTTAATTTTAAATGCCCAGCGAAGCGGACGAGTACAGCTAGTATATTTATATACTTCACCGGGAAATTATACTCTAAATTGAAACAATAGCAGTCTTATGTCCTGTTATTTTAGTCTATTAACTATTGTTATAAGTGTTTTTACTGGTGGTAGAACGTCTTTTGAGTCCGCAAGGGTAGATACCACCACTTTGCCTTTTTTGAGCCGTGAAATAAAGTGTTTCGGTTTGAAGGGTGCGGCAGCCGTTGTACTGTAAAAACTGAGACCTTAAAACTCACATCTCAAGGTAGGTGGCAGCATTTACGTTGTAGATGTCTATCAGCTCCGATAACCACTTAACATTAGGTGGACTGCGAGTTCGTAAGCAATAAGAAAAGAATAGTAAAAATTTTAGTTATTTATCATACGAAAAACTAAACTGGAGAATAGATTGTTTTTTAAATTAAAATTAATTAATTGAAAGTTATTAAAACTAATTTTGCAGTTTACAGTTTCCGTGGGCACGGAACTAATTCACACAACTGGATGAAAACTGCACACATAAACATTGAACTTATTTACATAAAATAATACATTATAGAATTCACCCTTTTGGGTGTGAACACATCTTGCTTAAGAGCGTTTGTGCTTAAGATAAAAATATCGTTAACTAATATTAAATTAAGACAAAGAAAACAAAACAAGATTGTAAAGGAAACGTAAAAACCAGTAAAGACGAGATTTAATCGTAAAATTAATTTTACTTATTTCTAAGTTTTGCGAAAACCTAGTAAAAAACAAATTTCTACTAAAGATATACTTAACGCATAGTTTGTATTTTTAGAAAAAGTTTTTTTTAAACGCCTTATAGGCAGACGAGCATACGGCCCACCTGATGGTGAGTGGTAACCGTCGCTCATGGACCTCAGCAATGCCAGGGGCAGAGCCAAGACGCTGCCTACCAATTCTGCTTCTCATTGGGCGAACGCACGAGCTCACGGCCCGCCTGGTTTTAAGCCTTTATTGGGGCCCATACGCATGTAGTATTAACGCCGTCAACTCACAATGGCTATCTTCAAACTTGAAACCATTACTGCTTCGCGACAGACATAGGCAGGACGCCACATAATCACTGACTATGTAAGGTAGTTTAAAAGTATACAAGATTTTAATAAGAGTCCGTAAATAACAAAGATAAGACATGTTATTATTATTTTTTATGGCTTAGATGGCTGGACGAGCTCACAGCCCACCTGGTGTTAAGCGGTTACTGGAGCCCATAGACATCTACAACGTAAATGCGCCACCCGTCTTGAGATATAAGTTCTAAGGTCTCAGTATAGTTACAACGGCTGCCCCAGCCTTCAAACCGAAACGCATTACTGCTTCATGGCAGAAATAGGCGCGGTGGTGCTACCTACCCGTGCGGACTCACAAGAGGTCCTAACAACACAAGACTCATCAGAGGAGGACTCACAAGATTTATGTAACTAATTGTAATAATCTATACTAATATTTTAAACGAGAGCGTGTGTTTGTTACGATTTCACGTATTAACTACACGTTGTCAGAGAAAAAGAATATAAGGTTGCTTTCCATCCAGAAAAACTTTTACCGAGTGGTAACTTTTATTATACACACGCGAGTGAAGCCGCAGTTCAAAGTCGGTATTTGCTATAAAACACACACAAAAATATTAAGATATATTTAAATATACTCATATATAAATACATACAATAGATTAAGATTTATATTAGCACATACACTTTTTTTTTTTAAATTAACTGTTATAACATTTGACAAGCACATTTGGATTCACAATTATGTTGGTTATAAGCAACCTTACACAGATGAATAGGGGAATAACTAGTATTAAATATTATTTATGTAGGCAGACGATCATACGGCCTTTTTTTATTGCTTTGATGGGTGGACGAGCTCACAGCCCACCTGATGTCAAGTGATTACTGGAGCCCATAGACATCTATAACGTAAATACGCCACACGCCTTGAGATATAAGTTCTATGATCTCGGTATACTTACAATGGCTGCCCTAGCCTTCAAACCGAAACGCATTACTGCTTCACGGCAGAAAGAGGCAGGATGGTGGTACATACCCGCGCGGACTCACAAGAGGTCCTACCACCAGTAAGAACGGCCTGCTTGATGGCTGTCGTTACCGTCGTCCGTGGACATAAGCAATTCCAGGGACAGAGCCAAGCGACCCTATATCTGCGACATTTTAATACACCGCTTGATTGAGTCGTATTAATACCATGTTCTTTTTCAAAAGAAATATACCTCAGCCTGCCCGATCCTGTGGACCGAATGGTAAACAGTCGACGTCGCCCTAAGCACGTCATTACGCATCCTCACGACCCATTAACGATGCTTTTAGGTACCTCAAGCACCGGTCACCGTCTTCGTCGAACCCGTCGCTTGCGACGAAGGGCTCGGCGAGTAAATTAACCCTCAGACACAGGCCACTGAGTTTCTCGCCGGATCTTCTCAGTGGGTCGCGTTTCCGATCCGGTGGTAGATTCTGCGAAGCACTGCTCTTGCTAGGGTCAGTGATAGCAACACTCCCGCTCTGAGCCCCCTGAGCTCACCTACTAATTCGGTGAATCTAGAATAACCCCTCAAGCTTACTAGAATAGGTAGGCAAAGAAAAAAAACACAAATTACCTTCGGAGCCAGCAAAAAAGCCGCAACGATGACGTTGTGAAATATGCCCTGACCCAAAAAAGCCTCAAAAGATCTTAGTGTGTGTCTGTGTGAGTTAGAGAGACGTAGGTAACATTTTCGGCTCCATATAAACCGTCGTGACCCAGTATCGAAAAAGATACGCACTATATTCGCATCGCTATATAACCAACATCTGCTCACATTCTTGAGATTTAGACATTTTAACCAACACTTTATTAGTAAAGTCCGTAATAAAAAAACACTATTTCAGCGAATAAAATCAATGAAATCGGAAGACACTCGTTTATAACATTGCTGTCGATTTTTTATTGCTAATGCACATAGTACTATGATTTTAATGTTACAGCAAATTGTTTTTATTCGACGTCTTATAGTTATGCTTTTTACAAATAAGGCCGTGAGCGCTAAAGTGGCTTAACCCAGATTTTTTTATATTCGTACTTATTATTATATTGCAATTTATTTAAAACATAATAATTTTTGATGCAAAACCCTACACTAATCCTTAATTTCACTCATAGATTACATTTTATTATGGATTTATAAGCATTGTTTTTGCGCTTATTGTTTTTGCCTACAATTCAAAGCAGTGTAAAAGTAAATTCAAACTTTACTTTTTTTTTTATCTCCATACTAACTAACTTGGCGTCGCTCGGTGGAGCAGGAGCTAGGGGTCTTGGGCATGACGTTGGAGCAGCTAGAACAGACTGCCCAAGATGTAAATGGAAAAATTTGATTCGAGCCCTACACCTCAGCAGAGGGTAATACGAAATAATGATGATGATACTACTAACTATGGTAAGCTTATGCCACTTTTGCGCTGACGGCCTCAAATATGCATAAGATATTGAGTTTTTCCCCAACTATATAGTTCGCTGTCAGCCTGAGGGATATTCCGGCTAAGCTCCGGACGGGTAGGTGAGCTCACGGGTTCAACCCATCTCCGGTTGATTGATTATATGATTACTAGCGACCCGCCCTCGCTTCGCTTCGGAAACTGTAATTTATTATTGATTTCTCCACTATTTAATGGATGTTATTATAGATATAAACCTTCCTCTTCAATCACTATATCTATTAAAAAAAATCGCATCAAAATCCGTTGCGTAGTTTTAAAGATTTAAGCATACATAGGGACAGAAAGATATAGGGACAGAGAAAGCGACTTTGTTTTATACTATGTAGTGATATTGATTTGATAAAAGCGAATATGTAATACATAATTATAATTTAAACGTAAATAGCTTTAGCATTTACTTCGGCATCGGGATACATAATTATAACAATTTTTACTTTTTAATTCCGCATTTTTAATTTTCTTTTATATTATTTCATACTTTTCGAATAGTTTACAGGTTTTGTGGTCACGGACTGACTTAGTTTCCTTGAAATGCACATGTATTATTTGAAAACTACGTTTACCATTGCTTTCCATTTAATCAAAGCTAATGACGCGAATGTATACTGTTTATTGCATTCTGGTTTTGACGCTATTACGCTAATGATCGTGACGTCTTCACAGGGCCCATACTTAGCTTAAACCTTCCTTGACTTTAGAAACGAAAAGACCAGTGGCAATAAGAGTGAACTGTTAAATAAAAACGCTAATACAATACGAATAAGGCGCTAGATCGAACCGCTATTCTAGTGTCAAACTGATAAACAAAACCCAAAACCAATCAGTGCATTTTGGCCCCAAAACGTGCTTCGAATTATGATATTTGAAAAATACGGCGCGACACGATAACCCTCTTATCATGACCGCCACTAATTACTAATCCAACCCTGGCCCCTGGGCAACACAAAGACGTTGTCGTCTGAAAGAGGTATTGTCGTATCCCCCGGGATTCACTCTTGGTGCTTTTAGGCCCCTCAAGCACCGGTCACCGTTCTTCAAGAGTTCGACGAGTGAACTAACCCATAGACACAGCCCACTGAGTTTGTCGCCGGATCTTCTCAGTGGGTCGCGATCCCGATCCGGTGGTAAATTCTGCGAAGCATTGCTCTTGCTAGGCCTAGTGTTACCTAATTTTCTCAGGTTGAGCCTTTAAGCCCACCTACCTGATAGCCCCCTAGGTTACCAGCAAACAGGGAAAAAAAATGAGACTTAGAATATATTCAAGACCGACCAAAATTATCCATCTCCGGCACCGAAAGCAACCTAAACAAGAAACGTACAGAGCACAAGGAAGCACCTGTTATGAGCAGCCAAATATTTACATATTATTAGATCAGCGGACACTAAAAAACTGTAATCCCACATCGCTATAGATTAAACATTAGTGATCAAAAACACACATGCTGTTAAACAAACACCAAACAACGTCTTAGTAAAACCAATTCTGTTGCGAGTACCCTGTGAATTCGGTCCCCTCTGCTTTTGAGCTTCGGGAAGCGGTTACCGATTTTCTCGATGAGCTCAGTGCATGAATTGAAGGCTGTTTGCAAGTCCGGGTGGGGCCCTGGCAAACTGCCTGCCCTTGGTCGCAGTTCCGTTGGTCTGATTTTAAGAAACGTTAAAAAATTAAATGACGACGCTGTTAACTGCATCGACAGTGCGTTTCCAGAGGTCTTTCTTGCCACGTACCATCCGGCTATGGAATGAGCTCCCCTCCACGGTGTTTCCCGAGCGCTATGACATGTCCTTCTTCAAACGAGGCTTGTGGAGAGTATTAAGCGGTAGGCAGCGGCTTGGCTCTGCCTCTGGCATTGCTGAAGTCCATGGGCGACGGTAACCACTCACCATCAGGTGGGCCGTATGCTCGTCTGCCTAACAGGGCAATAATAAAAAAAAAAACTTCATTCAAAATTCTTAATGCTCATTACAAAAATGACATTCACAATTCGTTCAACTAAGTATATTTGTTTTTAATACACTAGAAACAATAATTCGTGTCTATTGGTGACTACATTGGTGATGAGCAAGGACAAATCTGCCAACATATAATACATTACATTATATAGTAATGATCTTCCGATTACAAATATGATATTGAAACGCTTACATACATTATATTATAAATACTATTTTTAAGTGATTCTTGTTACAATTTTAAGGTTTACTGGAATATAATTTCTTAGTAGATCGTAGTAAGAACTCTTAAAATAATAGTAGTCATGATATATGATAATCAGTATATACCTTTCATCGCTAGATGATAAACAGGAGACGCAGGAGTCTGTGGAACTGTAATCGTTTGATTCATCGTCATATGACAGATTTGTGACTGATTTACTTCTCTTCTTGTACAGAACATTTTCCTTTTCAATACATATAAAGTGCTTACAGATATCCTTAGGATCTTGGTTCGTACCAGGAGGCTCATCTACAACAACATGTGGAATTCTACTCGTGTTTTCTCGAACTTCTACGCATTCAGTATAAGCACCGTCTTCTTTTTCTTCTTGATTATCTTCTACTGAACTTCTCTCTTCCGAAGATATATGTGACACGAATCGTGAAATTTTCGATCTCTCTATTCTGTTCTGTACTTGATCGTGTATATCATCCATTCTATCTTGTATTTTACCTTGGATTCTTATGAAGTTCTTCTTTAATTTGTCCATTTTGTTCTCTTTGTCCGCCATCGTTTCAAGATTTTCGCTCATTTATATCCGCTATGAACACCTCTCTGCACTATCGAGAGCTAATGCCAACTAGATATTCCTTTGAAAACATAATTTCCTGTCAGAGCTTGCTAGAATTAATATACGCGCTGCATTACGGAGATTACGCGAATTCTGTATCAATCAATAAACATTTCCTTCGAAGAAAGTTTATTTTGAATTGAACCATATGCTGTTTTAATATTTAAACGAAGATTTATGCCGCACGTGTTTATATGTCGAACGGGTATCCAGGAAATCTATCTATATAAAAATGAATTGCTGTTCGTTAGTCTCGCTAAAAACTCGAGAACGGCTGGACCGATTTGAGTAATTTTGGTCTTGAATTATTTGTGGAAGTCCAGACAAGGCTTGAAAGGTAAATAAATATGAAAATGCTCGGAATTAAATAAAAGTAACAATTTTGTTTTTCCTTTGATGTGTCCCCCGTCGGACGGATTCCTTTTGTTTGTTTTAAGTTTATTTTATACAAAAGTTTAGGTCTTTTATTTATCGATTGAGGCACTACGAAGTCTGCCGGATCAGCTAGTGCCTATTAAAACCGTTCGCACATAGTTTAATTTCGAAATAATTTGTTAATTCGTGACGTCGTCGTGGCCTAAAAGATAAGACGTCCGGTGCATTCGTGTTGAGCGATGCAACGGTTTTCGAATCCCGCAGGCGGGTACCAATTTTTCTAATGAAATACGTACTCAACAAATGTTTACGATTGACTTCCACGGTGAAGGAATAACATCGTGTAATAAAAATCAAACCCGCAAAATTATAATTTGCGTAATTACTGGCAGTAGGACCTCTTGTGAGTCCGCACGGGTAGGTACTGCCGCCCTTCCTGTTTCTGCCGTGAAGGAGTAATGCGTTTCGGTTTGAAGGGTGGGGCAGCCATTATAACTGTACTTGATACCTTAAAACTTATATCTCAAGGTGGGTGGCGCATTTACGTTATAGATGTCTATGGACTCTGGTAACTACTTAACACCAGGTGGGCTATGAGCACGTCCACCCATCAAAGCAATAAAAAAAATCATTATTACAATATTCTCAAGATTAAAAAAAGGGTGCAGCAGTATATAAATAAATAATGTGAATAGAAATGATTTTATTATCACTATCATTTGCTACCGAGACATTCATGTGTCTATAATGGTCGTTAATTGAAACTATTTAGAATATCAATTGTCTATTGATTGTATTCACCGAGCTACTTAGCTACACATCTAAAACTATTATTAGATGGCGCAGGTAACTGAGTTTTCGGAGCCGCTGATCTATTTTAGTGATGTATTGATCGAGTGTAGATAATTAAATCGACAGTGTGATCAAAATGAATTATAGCAGATAGATGAGCGATGTCTAGCGGGATAATGATATGAATATGGAGCGCTTCAATATTAAAAAATCTAATATCAAATTGTTTTGCTTCAGGACCAACTATTCGTTTTGGAAAGGTGCTCTAGACACTTTCAGTGTTGTTGGATGTTCCTAGTGCTGACGTTAGCAGAAACCAAATCCTAGGTCAACTACTCGACGTAGTCACCAAAGAATTCTACATAAAACACCACTTCGATAAAGCGGCACGACACGAGAACCCTCTCATCGTGGCCGCCGGTAACTACATACCCGATCCTGCGGACAGAATGGAAAGCAGTCGACGTCGCCCCAAACACGTCATTTCGGATCCTCCCGATCCACTAACGGTGACCGGTGCTCAAGCACCGGTCACCGTTCTCGTCGAACCCGTCGCTTGCGACGAAGAGCTCGACGAGTAAATTAACCCACAGACACAACCCACTGAGTTTCTCGCCGGATCTTCTCAGTGAGTCGCGTTTCCGATCCGATAGTAGATTCTGCGAAGCACTGCTCTTGCTAGGGTTCGTGTTAGCAACGTCATCAGGTTTGAGCCCCGTGAGCTCACCTACTAGTTAAGGCGACGCTGATATAGCCTCTCAAGGCTATCAGCTTAGGTAGGAAAAAAGCCAACACCGTCATTCTGATAGTAGACCCACTCGTGGTGCTCATGCGGTTGTTAACTAGGCCTCCTTCGGGGGTGCTCGGGCATTTGTTAGCCCTCCTCCGAGCGGTAGGTAACTTTTATTTTTACCACAGTAATGAACTAACCAATTAACGTTGCATTATGACATGACAGTGACATCTAAAGTAACTGCATGGGACGGTCCACAGGGCAAGCGGCGCGTCGGTAGACCATACACGCGTTGGGAGGATGATATTAGAGAAGTTGCTGGACCACACTGGATTTATGTCGCCAAAGACAAAACAAAATGGAAACCTTTGGAGGAGGCCTTTACATGAGAGGCGTCCATACATATAATATATATTTAGTAATATACAAAAAAAAAAAATGTAATTGTATGGAATAAAGGGCTTTTTTATTTTATTTATTTTTGAGTACCAGTAATCGATTGACCTCACCAAAAAATTTTGAGCTGGTCATTTATAGAATGTCAAAATACTGGATTAACCTAAAAACCGAAACCCTTGAACGTGCATTCATTCGTTTCCCGTTTGAATAGAGATAAACCACATTGCTTATTCCGTAACCTTCAAACTATTGTGAGTTAAAGATAACAGTATAATTCGACAATAGTACGGCGTTTGTAAAGTAAGATTTCTCATTGTTTTTCGATACATTTAAATAGCGTGGACATGTTAATGTGAGTATAATAAATATTAGTGTAAAGAAATTACTGAAACGATTGAATTTTTTAAGAGAATAAATAGCTTTAAGTTACAATTGATGAAAACATATAATACCACCGCCCCGTCTATTACCACCGCCCCGTCTATTTACCACCGCCCCGTCTATTATACTGTTGGTAGGACCTCTTGTGAGTCCGCACGGGTAGGTACCACCGACCCGTCTATTTCTGCCGTGAAGCAGTAATGCGTTTCGGTTTGAAGGGTGGGGCAGCCGTTGTAACTATACTTGAGACCTTAGAACTTAAATCTCAAGGTGGGTGGCGCATTGACGTTGTAGATGTCTATGGGCTCCAGCAACCACTTAACACCAGGTGGGCTGTGAGCTCGTCCACCCATCTAAGCAATAAAAAAAAAAATCATCGGGGAAATTTAGAGAGGGCGCTTAGGTACTTCAGAAAATTACAGAGCATAAATATGTTGGGTGTTTAAGTTGTCGTGTATATAATAGTATTTGCTTATAAGTATATTACACTCCATGTTATTTTTACATTCGCGAACTTAATGCCTAAAGCATTCTCTATCAGTCAGCCAAAGGTGTGGTGTATTGAAATGTTAATTAAAATACAAATACATACCTCCTATATGTAAGTGTAAATATATATACCCATATATACATATAGTTGATACAATATTATAGCTTATATACTCGTAATATCGCTGTTAACTGGTCTTGTTGTTGCCGTATTAAGGGGATTTAATAAAAACGCTACGTAGAAAGATAGCGGATGATATTATGTATGAAAATCCTGCGCCAATATTTAAACAAAATCATCCGTGCTCCGTTTAAGGCCGTTCAATTCGCCATTATGATCATTTATGTTAACGCACGTAAAAATATCGCAAATAAAATATTAGAAGGAAAAAAAAAACAAATAAATTGTATCAAGTTTATTGAGTCTTTTAATCGACAAGCTATGTTTTTTGCAACTGGATGTTATGGATATATGGATTGTCATTTTCTTTCTCTTGCGGGAGGTCATTGTGTAAACTAACTAATTAATAAAGCTAAAAAAGGTCTCAACTACACTAGAAATGAAGGTCTTTTACTATTATCAAGAATTACATAGAACACTGATCTTGCGAAGCTTATGTATATTTAAAGTTATTTTGACCGGTCGCTTCGAAAAATGAATTCAAATTTCCTATTGTATTGTAATTATAGCCTTTCTTTTTTAAGCACCGCGATTGATTCATGGTAGAAATAGGTACGTACGGTTTTGGTAACCGCACGTATTCACAATACGCGAACTCGCCGACAAGGTCGCATCACGCGAAACCACTTGATATCCCGGGCGTCTTAGTCATTACTAGTAGTTCCCTGGCAATCGAAATTATAAATTTGTACACTAATAAGATTCTATTGTCAAAGACATTCTACTTTTATAATCCCAGATTTTGCCAAGACTACACTTTATACAAATATTAATAAAGACAAACAATGTTTATTCTATTCTCAACTTTTCACAGACTATAAGCAATAAGAAAAGTTTGACAGTAAGCAAATAGTATGCATGTGTGTGTGTGTCAAATGCATGGTAGTGTGTGTAATGTTTTATTTATTGATTCAATGTAGGTATTCTTTATGCATAATTAAAAAAAATATTAACATTCTGCATTCCTTCCCTATATTCTCTATAAGTGTGGGAAATTTCATACTCCTCCGTCCGCGCAATTTTCATAAAAAGGGATACAAAATTTTTGCTTCACGTATTGATATAAAAAACCCGCGGATTCTGCAAAACATTACGTACAAAAAAGGCCCCCAGCAAAACAAAAACCAAGGAAATTGAGAGTTATTAATAGCCAATAATCGAATCTAAGACTTGTGAAGATTGCTAATTCCATGAGCACAAACACGGTAATGATATTAGCGTTGCTCTTTGAAAAACCAGTTGGCAAGACGATAGTGTATTACATATTACTATATCTAATTAGGTATGACTTGGAGTGTTTATTTGTTGACGAGATTCACAACTAGACGACATAATCCAAGTTTTGCGTTGGATTTACATTCATTTAAAAGTTTCTGAACGGCAACAAATGGTTCGAGATAATTATCTGTACAGGTGAATCGCCTGTATTATGAAAGATGAATGCTTGTATGACATTTATCAGTGCATGACGGGTTCAAGGCAGATCAATACACTGAGTAGGTATCTTTATTACTTTTATTTGTCAGAACGTGCCTCGATATGCTATGTGGCTGAGCGTCAGGTATTGCTATAGGAGCTTTGTTCAAAGAATGATTGTTTCTTCGAATGTGAAGCATGAGTAATTGGGGTATTACAATTAATAATTTTTAAAGGGTGTTTGGAAACTGATTGAAATTTTCAGTTATTTTTAAATGGTATAAAGCAAATTGAATTTTATTTCAAAAAACGTTCTTTTTTTTTAGCTCTCTCTGTATGTCAGTGCAGCAATAAGTGTTGGTTGATTTTGTCAGATATAAAACACATGTGAACCATGC